GACTAGAGATGGACAAATAATGACTATATGGAATCTAGAGATTGACAAACAGTATATACATGAACTCTATACATGAAATAAAATATATACACGGAGACTAGAGATGGACAAATAATGACTATATGGAATCTAGAGATTGACAAACAGTATATACATGAACTCTATACATGAAATAAATATATACACGGAGACTAGAGATGGACAAATAATGACTATATGGAATCTAGAGATTGACAAACAGTATATACATGAACTCTATACATGAAATAAAATATATACACGGACGTAGACACTGTTCATTCATCTTTAGGCTCTATATAGATACTTTTTATCATTCTCTTGACTCGATATAAACATTTTCTTTTATCTCTAGACTTCATGTAGTCATTATTCGCCCAACCCTAGGCAGTCTTCATGTAGTCATTGTTCGTGCAGCTCTAGACTACTACATATAGACATTGTTCGTTCATCTAAAGTCTCCATGTAAACATTGTTCGTCCATCTCAAGGTTTCTTGTAGTCATTATTCGCCCAACCCTAGTTAGACTTCATGTAGTCATTGTTCGTTCATCCCTAGTCTCCATATAGACACTGTTCGTACATATCTAGACTCCATATAGACACTGTTCGTACATCTCTAGACTCAATATAAACATTGTTCGTTCAACTCTCGACTACATGTAGACATTGTTCGTCCATATCTAGACTCCATGTGGAAACTGTTTATCCATCTCTAGACTTCATGTAGACATTGTTCATCCATCTCAAGGCTTCTAGTACATATTTTTTGTTCATCTCTAGTCTTATATTTCTATATCGGGGAAGCAAAGTGTTCGTAATTGGACTTTTCTTTATTGCTTCTGGAGGAAAGGGTAACACTTATTTGAAATACTTGCATAAAGATTTTAACGCGATGATGTGAACGAATATTTTAGTTTTTGTGTAAAATCACGTCATTATGTATTAGTTTACAATTGATTTTATTCTAAAATTACTGAAATTTGCAGCTTTGTATCGTATATATTCATTATATGTTTTGCATAATGAGTAAACCAATTCTCATAGGAACATGATTCACATTTGCTCTTAACCCCCTAAAAAAAAAAAAAAAGAGGCACAATAGTTTAATCATTTTACATTTAACAAATGTTAGTTTGTTCGTGTATTATGATGGGTGTATATGTTTAACTCCGTGAATGGTGTTACTACATTTGTTGGTTTTGTCTAACCTTCTACATGTGATGAACTTCTAATGTTTTTACAAAAGGGATTGCTAGAAAAAAAGAGATTATAGAAAAATAATCTTAAAGCACAGAACTTTCAAAAATTATTAAAATTATCAAACATTCACGTAAAACTGTTTTAAATTTGTGATATTCTGCAAGACCTTTTATTTTTGTTTTTATACAAGAAAAATCTTAAAACATAGAACTCTCAAAAATTATTAAAGTCATGTAAGATAGTTTTAATTTTGTAATATTTTGCGATACCTTTTGCTTTGATTTTTCTATTGGTCGTTTTCTTTCATCTAATTTTAAGTAAGAGATAGAAAATTTGTATGTATTCAAATACTAATTCAGTTAGATTAATAAACTTTTTTTTTCTCTACCTAAGAAGTTAACATATTTGAAGATTTAAGAAAAATTTCATTTGTATATGTTAATAAGTATTTGATGTTTTATACTTTTATTTTCGTTAATCTTTAACTGACTTTTTAGCAAATGATATGTTCCTATAATTATGTGAATATTGTTATAATCAGTGCTTTATAATGAATTGGCGGTAAAAATAAATAAGACATTACAGAAAAACTGCTTCTTCTGCTGCAATCTACTGTACATATAGTACTCATATCATCAAATGTGTTATCGCTATCTAAGTATTATTAAAAGAATTAAACAATTTTCATTGCTATTTTATTGCTTGTTTGTCACATGACAAATTTTGAAACATCACAAGAGGGACTATTTTGTATTGGAATGGTGGGATAGAGTAACAACTGGAAAAGGTTGTAGAAAATATTGGAGAGTGCAAGAACATTTTTTACCAGAATAAAAAACTGGTTATAATTGATTGCCAATTTGAAGTGATACACGTTTATTAAAAAAAAAGACTGATGCTGCGTTTTTAGCGCAAAACTATACGATGGACCCTCTGTGCTCTATCAACCATAGGGATTTTAGTGCTGTAAGTCCGGAAACTTACTTCTAACTCACAGGGTGACTATTAGGCTGAACAATAATAGTAGTAAAACAAACTATAGGGTTTATTGTACGTAAAATGTTTTTTGTGCGATTTCATATATGTATACATTTATCGGTAATCTAGTTTCATTACCTTCTAGAAATATCGGTCTCGACGGTTAAAATTTATATTTTCAAATACAGTAGCAATTTTGTATTCTTATCTGGTCTTTTACTAACATGAAATTTAATTCTGTTTTGTGAATTTTATGGAGGTGCTTATTTTGAATAATTTCTTTAAAAATACAAGTGTGTATATATTGATGATGGTTGGTTGCATGTTCTATTAAATTATCTTGCTACGAAAAATGCTAGGATTAACAATCTTAAAGACAGCCGAAGTTTCTTTGTCACCAGTATAAAGACTTGATTTATAAAACGTAAAAGTGAAAAAGCTTTTGTAATCATTAATTGCTCTATACATACAAACGTAGCATATAAAGACGGTTGAGTATTTTATATTAAGACGATTTTGACATTGTTTAGTGTTCGTAGGTAGTGTGATACCATCTAAACTTGATCGCTTTTGGGAAGGGTACGTAAACGCTCTTTCCATCGCAAAATATTAATACACTCAGAACATAAAGATGGATTTAGATCGGGGATTTAGATTTTCGAAGATGGTGATATCCGTTGTTCTTTATGGCGTTGAAAAACAAATGAATGTTGATCAATTTGAGGAACCTGGACCATCCAAAAAGAGACCTACAAAAAGTCGTACCCCAGCCATCGTATGAAAAGTGTGGTGTCTCTTTCAGGTGACAATCCACGAACTCAAAAGCCAGTGCCAAAAGCCGTCCACGTGCTCTAGACAACAGTACAACACATAATCGAAAAAATTTTTCGTCTAAAAACGAAGCCAACATGGTGTAGGTTCGACATGATAAGGCTATTCCTTACGAAGACATACTGGTTTAAATAAATTTTGAAGCACATTAAGTATAAAGTGACAGTGAGAAGTCTAGTTTTTAAGTACATGTTAAAGAACACTAGTTTATAAAGCGTGTGTAATATTTCAATGATTAAAACAAATATATTTTTTTTATTTTCGCATTTGAAGATTATTCAGTCTCAAATGTATCAAAGCCATTATGTGTGATAACATGAAAGATTTTTCTACCTAAAACTTATCTTGATCCGAATTACAAGGTATGAGACAATAGAGTGAACAAACCCTTTTTATCACTAGAATTAGAACCCAATAAATTCGTTTAGTTTAAGAAAAAAGTTTCTTGATAATGAAATGTTCACATTCGAATTTTTAAGTGAGAAATGTAGGTTTTTATTTTTACATATTACCAGGGAATGAGTTTCAATCACAGATAATTCCTTGATATGATTGATTAATAAAAATTTGTTTTCCTGTTCTTTTGTGAGTTTAAAATAAACCATCCCTTTACTAACTCTAAAACAATTGTTTACTGACAAGAAAAGCTGTCTCAAGACCTATTTAGAAATAGAAAGGGTCATTAGACTTATGGTAGTCTTTTAGTGCTGGCGATTTCTTTTCAAATAATAATGCATATGGCGATTAACTAGTAACATATGGCGATTAGCTAGTAAAATCATTACTGACTCCAGTCAATAATTAATCTTAAAGTCCAAAGCTAACAATTGATTTTCTAAACATATCTTCTTGTTATATATTTGTTATTTCTGTACAGCATAAACTGCTAAATGATTGTCTGGATAGTTAATTTATATAACGACAAAATGGGATGTTTTGTTTTGTTCAGACTTCACGATT